AGGCCTGGAACATAGGCTGAGACCCTCAGTGAATTTCCTTGCTGTTTCTTCCTTATGCTGCTCATGCGTCCAACCTCAATAGCACCCTTTCTTCCACACAGACCATTGACAGCACTCTTCTTCCCCTCTCTAATCTGTTCTCATCCATCCCTATAAGGATGTAAATAAAAGATAAACAGGTTTCTTGGATGGTTCAGTAAAGCAGGACCTACCATTTCTGAGGGGACAAAAATCAAGCTATCATTGTACTGAACAAATTATCTATCTATAACTATTTCATGTCTATATCTTCTGACTCTATCCTGGGAAAAACATTGGATTTCAGTGTTTTTTGTCTTTGTTTGAATGACTGGTTTAAATAGATCTATTTGCTTCTTATTCATGTCTGTGTTGATTTCAGGATTTATGATCCTGAGAATCATACCGATCTTTGAGGTCATTAAATGTCATATATCAAAAAATTTAAGATGCAATATATTGGGAGTTGCAATATTCTTTCATTTACCACGGAGAGAAAGAAAAAAAAAAAACATGTTGCTGAATAAACTACAAAGCAGTGCTTTCTTAACTTTTAGCATATGGCTGTTGCTTTGCAAGAAAATATGTATTTTTGGTCATTCCTCCAAAGACAAATATTTACTTCTCTAATATCAGATTTGTGGTTCACTGTTGCTCTGTGCCTTTCTATAAACACATTAACTTTAGTGTCAAGGCCAAATCATAGGGTAATTTCTCCAAAAGCATTTGAACAGCACTTAAGCTCAATACCCACAGTAATAGCCACACACACAGTTCAACTAGAGTGATGACGTCATTAGAAAGAGACGACTGTACAGACTCTGATTCAGTGATGTCATTTTAAGACTCCATGTATTAGAAAACAGGCTAGGATTTCAGAGATATTAACATGTGAAAACAAAGCATCTTAGAGTCAACAAAACGATTTAGCAAATTAAAAATCCCCATTTTTTTCCTCCTACAGAGGAGCAGATGCACCACTGAGCACTCAAAGTGAGCTGTGGTTCTCTGCAGGAGCCGGGGAGCTCATTTTGCTATTGGACATGCTTGACCAGCAGGCTGCAAGTGGCTAGCATTCTTCTGGGTAGGAAGGGACTTAAATTTCAAGGGAAATGGCTGTCATGTTGGCCTTTAGGAACTGGGGCATTTGTTGTGCACTGGGGCAGATAAAGTGTTTGAATGTTCTCTTGTATATTATGTAGGAGTGGCAGCCTTAAAATATTCACTTTGTTGGTCCTAGTCCGCCCTCTGGGTGTGTGTGGGATAAATGGGACTCTTCAAGTCCACACATTCTGAAATGCTGTCAGATCATTGTTCATCCTTCCCTTTTTTCATTTTCTTCAATCGTTTCTCAGAGCTTCTCAAGGCTTTTAATAAACTTGAACACTATTCAGAGCATTACACATGCATTTTGCCAGGGTCTGCATATTTGTGTTTATTCCCCCCTGCCCCTACCTCCAGTTTGTATGTTGAAACCTAGACACCAAGGTGATGGTATTTTGGAGAGGTAATTTGATCATGAAGGCAGAGCCGTGGTGATCGGGGTTCCTGCCTTTAAAGAAGAGGTTCCAGAGAGTTCCTTCACTCCTTCCACCATGTGAGGACACTGTGAGAGGCTGGCATCTGCAACCCAGGGCAGAACCCTTCCTAGAATGGGACCATGCTGGCATGTTGATCTTGGACATCCAGCCTGAAGAACTGTGAGGATAAATTTCTGTTCTTTGAAACCTACCCAGTCTTGTTAGAGCACCCGCATGGACTAAGACGTCTTTATTATTTGAAAAATAGTAATGCAGTAGCTACCACTTTCAGAGAGCTGCTATAGCTGGCATTGTGCTAACCATTCTATTCATACTGTTGTATTTTTTGCTCATGATAACCCTTTGCGGTAGGTATAATTATTGTCCTGCTTTAACAATGACACAAACTGAAGCTTAGAGAGGATTAGTAACTTTCCCAATGCCTTAATAACTAATGAGAAGTGGATCTGAGTTTCAAAACTAAATCTCCTTGTAATGAACAGCAATTTTCATACAAGTCTGTAGAAGAAAATTGTGGAAGTGATATAATAAAAATAAATCCAAATGAGCAGAAACTTCTCTTTTAAATTGGTACCTGAAAGACACTGTGTACTTCTTCTAATGGTTCTTCTACGGATTAGGGCACTTTTGGAACGTCCCTTGGGAACTGTCTTCAGGATCTGCGCTTTGAGTACCCTGTTCAAAGGGATGCTCACTATCCATCCTGTGAGGTCAGCTTTGACTCTTAAATGCACACTAACGAGGCAGGTCTGCTGACTAAGGTGTTGGATGACTGTGATCACTGGGGTGACACAATTTTCAGTCATGAAAAGACTGGTTTTCTTAAGTTGGCTGAAACCTAAAGCAGAAGCACCCTTGGGGCATATATGATCTTTCTTGGATCATGAGGATTTGAGAGACATAAGATATTTATGGAAATGCAGCTATCTGAGGTCAAAAAAACAGCAACCCTGATGACTGTCAATATAAGCAATTGGAGTTGCATGTATGTTTTGTTGGTATGAATCAGGGCCCCCAGATTTTAGTGGCTCAAGGCAGTGTATGGCTCCTAGCAGTATTCTATGCGGTGTTTTTATTGCAGGAGGCTATACAACTGGATAAACTTTAGGTTTGGTGGCCATGTATAAGTCCTTGTTGTCCTATGTCTACCCACTCAGTATGTTAATCCCATGCCTGCTGAAAGCATTTGGGGTTTTGATTCCTAATGTTAACACTCTTTTGTCTAAAAGAACTTTGAACAGTAGGTATCACTCTGCTTGAAAAAAAAACAACCAGAACCAACAAACCCTTAAGATATTTCACATCCAGTTCCAACATCCTTTAAGCTACTCCCAGTTAAAACCTCAAAGCTGGTACACTGGGGCAACCTTGAGGGATGGGATGGGGAGGGGGTTGGGAGGGGGGTTCAGGATGGTGGACACATGTACACCCATGGCTGATTCATGTCAGTGTATGGCAAAACCACTACAATACTGCAAAGTAATTAGCCTCCAATTAAATTAAGATAAAGTAATTAATTAAACCCAAAAACCCCAATTCTTCCTTTTCCTGAACTCATGTAAAACTTCAGTAAACTTCACTTTGCACTCCTGATCAACAGTCTTCTGGTAGGTCTTTGGGAAGAATTCTCATCTCATTTCAGATGAGCAGAGGTACTGCTCATTAATTAGCAGAGGTACTCCTCTGGGAATGACATTTGGGCTCTCCAAAGAGATCCACTTACTTTTAAAAAAAATCTAATCTTGTTTTATTTCTTTTAAGTCACTTTTAGAAAACTGAACTTGTTCATAAGTTAGAATCATATTTGTTTTTTAATTTATACTTTATTTTGACCATACCACACAGCATGTGGGAATCTTAGTTCCCTAACCGGGGATCGAAGCCACGTGCGCTGCTTGGGAAGCCCAGAGTCTTAACAAGTACACCACCAGAAAAGTCCTGACCCACCTACTTTTTGAAACAGCAGAAAATACTCCCATGTGTTTGGATTTTTTTTACTTTATACTTTCTCTTTCCTCCTGTGATGCCCTGAATTCAGTCTTGTGTTCTGATGCCTGTTTATTGATTCTTCCTAGTTTTGATGAATCTCTTATCACAACCAGAGTTTTAGTGTTAACTTGCCCAGATTGAGGCTGGTGCCATTCGTCCTGGGCTTTGGTGACCTAGCGCTGCTTCTCAGTATATGGTTCTGAGCTGTGTCCATGTGTTATCCTGGGGATGCTATGCAAAANATCACAACCAGAGTTTTAGTGTTAACTTGCCCAGATTGAGGCTGGTGCCATTCGTCCTGGGCTTTGGTGACCTAGCGCTGCTTCTCAGTATATGGTTCTGAGCTGTGTCCATGTGTTATCCTGGGGATGTTATGCAAAAGGAAACATACTTATCGCCACGGGAAGAATTGGGACAGAGTTGAGGGCAGAAGTCCATGGAGCATCTACTTTAGCATGTGGGCCCATGGTTCCAAGCACTGTGCTTTGTATAGATAGATGCTTGGTAAAAATTTGTTAATGGAATAAACGAAAAAACAAAACAGTTATAGTGAAAAGTGAAGTCGCTCAGTCGTGTCCAACTCTTTGCAACCCCATGGACTGTAGCCTACCAGGATCCTCAATCTGTGGGATTTTCCAGGCAAGAATACTGGAGTGGGTTGCCATTTCCTTCTCCAGGGGATCTTCCCGACCCAGGGATAGAACCCGGGTCTCCTGCGCTGCAGGCAGACTCTTTACTGTCTGAGCCTCCAGGGAAGCCCATGGACCGATGATAGAGAACCTATTAAATTAATAGGTTAATTAGGTAGGTTAATTAAGTAGGTCTTAATTCCAGGTCCTGGTTCAAAAAAGTCTTGAGTATGTTGGGGGAGTTAAAATGTATGAGGTAGAAAAATTCTTGAAAACAATTGGAAAATTTTTCTCTTGAGTCTTGATGGTGGGCTGCAGAATGATGGCTTCTGCTGGGTGGGGTAGGGGCAGACAGATGAAAGATCTGGCAAAGGACAAATGTCAAACCCATATGAGGTCATGAGCAGGTTTCCCAGGGCTGCTCATTCTATACTTTTTCTGGGATACTAGTTACAAAAGCAGATTTTCTTTTTTTTCATATTTAAAAACAGTCACACAGCCTCCAGGAGATCAGGGTTCTTTTACTGGCATGGCTTGGCTTTTAAAAATAATGAAATCTGTTGTGAGACACATCTGAGGTTCTGAATGCTTTTTGGAAACAGGGCCCCCACCTTGCCAGTAAATTTGAGCTTTTACTTAACGTCACCCTATGGTGTGGTCAATGTTTTTTGATTATGAAGCAAGCTCTGAAAAATTAGAACTGAAGTGATCTTCCTCTTTCTAAACTGTAAGTTATCTTTCGCAGCATCTCATTGGAGAGGCGACCTTGAGGGCTAAAGTAAGTAGGTTATCCTCCCGTCTAACCGGCACAAATAACTGGTTACTGTGAGTGACACGAGCTGAGTGGGGTGGAGGGAAATGTGGGTGAGTTGCATTTTGAGATCTGGGTTGCTGTTTGTCACCCTGTCTCTTGCCATTGCTAAGCAGAAGCAATCACCCTTTGCCGAAAGTTGTTACCCAAGGGGAACCCTGTCCCAAGCTGTTGACACGCTCTATGTCAAGGCAGCAAGCCTCAGAGCAACGATTCCAGTAAGTATTAGGCTCTGCTTAGAATGAAGACCTAAGGGACATTTGAAATGCTGGATAAATCTTATTTCTCTTTGTTTTATTGTAGGAAGATCGCATAAAAAATATACGGTTATTAAAAAAGAAAACAAAAAAGCTATTTATGGTAAGCCAGGGGGTGCTTTTCTTTCTCACATTTCTACTTGTTGCATGCTTTTCTCCTTGCATTTTTAATTTTTCCAGATGGTCATGAAGTAGTAATCAGGGGGATATTTTGGTTCATTTTACAAAAGCTGCTCATGGTTTACCTTAGGCAATTTTTTCCTATCTTATTTATAGAAAAACTGCAGATTCCAGGAACAACTTCTGTCCTTCTTCATGGAAGATGTTTTTGGTCAACTCCAGTTACAAGTTTGCAAGGAAATGCACTTTGTGGAAGAATTTCATAGCCTTAGGCAGAAATTGAGCCGCTGTGTAAGTATGCACAGCAAATATGGTTTTGATCCTAGAAATCTACCTAGAAAATAGCATATTTTGTTTTCACCCCAACGGGTGAGTGAAGGGATTTTCTAATTGTTGGCTTGTAGTCCAAATGGAGAATCCATCACCAGGGAAACAGTATCAAATAATCTTGTGTAACTTCTCATGCCACTATGTTCTATTTCTTAAGGAATGACATGTAAAATAAGTTGAAGAGAGCTAAAAGAGCATAAGATGCTCCTTAGATCAATATTTAGTTTTTCAAATCAGTTTCTCTTTGTGCAAATCTAAACTAATTCATTCATTTAACAAATATTTCTGAAGCACCAATGATGTGCCAAACATTTTTCTAGAGTGTCCTTGTTATTCTTCTTTCCTTTCTTCCTTTCTCTTCTCTCTTTTTTCTCTTTCTTTTTTGCTCACTTTCTCTCACCTCCTCTTTCTTTCCCATATTGATAAGTGCTTTTAGATTGACTTTTTCTCATTTATTTGTGTAAGTATAGAATTGTATCCTTTACAAGGCAAAGTTTCAGTCAAAACAAAATGATAAAAGAAGTGTGTTCTTCTTTGGTACCTAAATTATTTGATGCAGTGGTATGGTCACCGTCACCCTAAGCAATGGGGTACTCATTAAGAAGGCAGAAGTGACCGTATTTCTAACATCCATGATATTAAAGATCAGTATAGAGACAAAACAAAGCAAAACAACCAAGCCAGGATCTGTGCAGTAGTTGGCTCGCCTCTGTGAGAAGTGTTGAGTCTTTTCAGTGGGTTTTGTTCTAAATATGCGCTCTCCAGTCTCCTGTGGCTGTACTGGTAGGTGGCACAAAGTAGGGGGTAGTGAAGGTTATTACAGTCCTTGGGTCACCAGAAGGTAATGAGCTTTCTATCCTTGGGCATCAGGGTCACGAAACTTAAACTCTGGGCTGTTGGTAGCAGATTTTCAGTTTTAAAATATCAGGACATCTTTTTTCTTGTGGTCCATGAAAGTACACAGTAATCCAAATTCCAGCCTACAGTGCAGACAATTTTTATAAGGGTGAGCTGGTCAGTAGGGTAAAAAAATATAACAAATTTATGTTCCCTTTGGTTAGTTTGTGTTTAAGTTACATCCTCATCTGGGACTTGGGTTGCATTCCGTTCAGTTCAGTCACTCAGTCGTGTCGGACTCTTTGTGATCCCATGGACTGCAGCACAACAGGCTTCCTGTCCATCACCAACTCCCGAAGTCTACTCAAACTCATGTCCATTACATTGCTGATGCCANTCATCCAGTCCAGCATTTTGCATGATGTACTTTGCATATAAATTAAATAAGCTGCATAGTTTCCCATAAACTTTCATATTCCATTAAAATAATAAGGTACAGAGTCATCCAATTTAATGTAATATTATTGTAAATGAAGTTTGCTAATGATGCTGAGGTACTAGAAATCCTTGTCTGATACAGTATAGTATATCTGGACCCCTGAAACTCCCAAAAGCCATGTCTGCTTTGACCACTGATTTTATTTCTTCAGCTCATATAGCTAGAGACCACATAATAGTTATAACTCAAACCGAGCAATGTTTCAGACGAAAAACTTAGAAACCATAGAGCTATCTAGGAACTCTGGTTTGCCTTGACTTGCTGTGGGAGAAGTCACTTCCCAAAGGGACCTTAGTTTGTCAAGAGCTTTTCTTGAGAGACTTGGGCTGCTGCAGGATGGGAGTAGGGCGGTACCGCTCAGGCTCATCCTGGAGGCTTTCCAAGGCGGCTGGCTCCCTCTTGTGGCCAAATACGAGCACATCACCTAGCCAACCATCCTGAGGTCCACCTAATTCTGGTCTTTCCTTCTAATGATCCCCCCTCCCAATACAACCCTTATTAGCTTTGGTTAATTTGGCTCACAAGCTAAGGACTTTATGAGCTGGAGTAAACAAACCGCCTCCGTAAAACTGTAAAAAAGAAAGTCGAAGGATTAAGCTGAGCTTTAGAAAGTTGCCTCCGATATTGCTTTAGGGAAATAAGTTTAATTTTAATAACAGGCTTGTATTTAGTTTTTCTGGCAATCACCATTTTTTTCTTTTTGGCTACAGAAGCAAGCATGTGTCTAATATAAATTAACTGAGCATTTGCTGCTCTGTGTGGAATTCTGAATCAGTGGATGTGGCAGAGATTAGTAGAGGGAAGTTATAAAATGTGAAGTAGGTGACATTTATTTACATGTGATTTTTTTCCCTTCTTTTTTGAACATTTGCTTTAATTTTGGGAAGATTGGCATGGGGGCAGTTTTCCTAACAGAGCAGCTGTGCCCTGCACCAGATGTGTAATTGTCACTGTGTTTCTTTTTTCCCCCTTCCTTCCAGGGACCTCAGGCTACCGTTAATTCTTGAATATGCCAATGAATCAAAGCTTTGCAAGTTGCAGAAACTTTTCTCCCCCTTCCATGTGGCTTTGCTGGTTGCTTTAAAGCTGTCCTCTCTATCTTACTGAAACTTGGGCAGACTTTCGAGGAATTGATCCTGAGACTAAATCCATGTCTTGGTCTATAGAATCTGGAGTTAAAAAAAGAAAAAGAAAACCAGAAATAGCATCTATGGTCCAATCCAGTCATCTCTCTTTTTTTTTTTATTGGATGCAGACATTCCTAGGTGTGGCGATTCTGACTCATTCGGAAATATCTGTATGATATCCCTTATAGGAATCTAAAAAGAAATTATACAAATGAGCTTATTTTACAAAACAGAAACAGAGAAGTTTTCCTCACAGAGGGGGAAAGAGTCGAGGGAAGGGAGGGATAGTTAGGGAGTTTGGGATGGACATGTACACGCTGCTATATTCAAAATGGAAAACCAAAAAGGCTGCAGCAATTTACATTCTCACCAACAGTGTAGGAGGATTCCTTTTTCTCCACATCCTCTCCAGCATTTATTATTCGTAGACTTTTTGATGATGGCCATCTGACCAGTGTGAGGTGATAGCTCATTATAGTTTTGATTTGCATGTCTCTAACGGTTAGTGATGTTGAGCATCTTTGCACGTGCCTGTTGGCCATCTGTCTGTCTGCAGGGGTGAGACTCCAGGCAACAGAAACAATGGAAAGAGCACTGCAATAAGGTGCTTGGACTGAAGTGTGCACACTAGTGCCATAAGGAAGGACAAGGAGAGTCTGACGAAGAGAGCGGAGTGGGGTGAAAGTGGAAGTGTCTGGCTCTTCGACCCCATGGACTGCAGTCCACCAGGCTTCTCTGTCCACGCAATTCTCCAGGCAGGAATACTGGAGTGGGTAGCCATTCCCTTCTGCAGGGATCAAATCCAGGTCTCCTGCATTGCAGGCAGATTCTTTATCATTTGCGGCATTAGGGAAGCCCAGACTGGGATGCGGAGAAGGTGATGGCACCCTACTCCAGTGCGCTTGCCTGGAAGATCCCATGGACGGAGGAGCCTGGTGGGCTGCAGTCCATGGGATCGCACAGAGTCGGACACGACTGAGCAACTTCACTTTCACTTTTCACCTTCATGCATTGGAGAAGGAAATGGCAACTCACTCCAGTGTTTTTACCTGGAGAATCCCAGGGATGGAAGAGCCTGGAGGGCTGCCATCTATGGGGCCGCACAGAGTCGGACACGACTGAAGCGACTTAGCAGCAGCCGCAGTAGACTGGGTGAGCCCAAGGTTTCTACTTGGAAAGCTGGCTGGTTGGTGGTGTCATTCACTATGAGATCAGAAGGAAAAAGCTTGGAGAAAGGTTAATAAATTGCTTTAGGTCTGCTAAAAGTTTGACATGTCCCATGCATAAATACAATCATAGGAGCGATATTTTTGCTTATATTTATATTCATGTTTATATTTATGATGNGTTTATATTTATGATGTTTATATTTGTGTATGTTTATATGTATGTTTATATATATTTATAAACATATTTGTATGTTTATATTTATGTTGCATGTTTATATTTATGATGTATTTGTTAACAGATTTATTGATATGTAATTAGCATGCAGTTAACTGAATGGATTTAAAGTGTGTTACTGGGTAGTTTTAACTTATGTGTATATTTGTGAAATCATCACCACAATTAAGATGATGAACACATCCATCACCCCTCAAAGTTTCTTTGGTTGGCTTGGTAATCCCCTCCCCTTCCCCTCCCCAACACTGTTTCCAGAGGACCACTGACCAGCTTTCTGTCACTGTAGATTTATTTGCATTTCCTAGGATTTAATGTAAATGGTTTTACAGATGATCCCTAACTTACAATGGTGTGATTTTTGACTTTATAGAGGTACAAAAGGTATGTATTTCCAGTTTTCCTGGGCCAGTGATTCCTGGCCCGGTACTCTTTCTTGATATTGGACAGCAGCGGCAGCCACAGCTCCCGGTCAGCCAAGAGATGAGGGTAAACAACCAATTCACTTAGCACCGTTCTGTACCCAGACAACTATTCTGTTTTCACTTTCATTACAGTATTGAATAAATTCTACGAGATATTCAACATTTCAGCATGAAATAGGCTTGTGTTAGGTGATTTTTCTCCATTGTAGGCCAATGTAAGTGTTCTGAACACGTTTAAGCTAGGCTAGGCTAAGCTATGATGCTTGGAAAGTTAGGTATACTAGGCATATTTTTAAGTCTTTATCGAATTTGTTACAACCTTGTTTCTGTTTTATGTCTCAGTTTTTTGACCTTGAGGCATATGCGATATTAGCTCCCTGACCAGAGATTGAACCCATACTCGCTACGTTGAAAGATGAAGTCTTAACAACTGGACTGCCAGGGGAGTCCCTTAAATGCATTTTTGACTTAAGATATTTTCAAATAACAATAGGTTTATCAGGACTTAAGACAATTATAAAGTGAGGAAAATCTATATACGTGTCATATTCTTTAAAGTCTGACTTCTACTCAGTATGATTATTTTGAGATTCACTCGTGTTATTGAGTGTATTAATTACTTCTTCCCTTTTCATTGCCAATTAACATTCCACTGTAATGATATACCACATT